TTTTAGGTGACAGGTACAGCAGAAGTTAAGGTGATTACCCTCGTCAATTTTTAGGTGACGAGTATATCACAGATTAAATTAAAATTGTTTCTCCAAAACTTTTAGGTGACAGGTATGGCAGTGACCGAAGTGAAATTCCTAATTCCAAATTTTTAGGTGACTGGCACGATAACAAAACTTTCCCAAATTTTTTATGTGACAGCGCTGGTTCTACAGAAAACATTTTAGATTTTAAGTATCAGGTAGGTCAACAGTCAGTACCGGAGGCAGTTGTTTGTATAACTTCTTCAGGATTTTAAGATAATGGGTTTAACGACGCACAGAAAATTTTCAGTATCAAGTCTGCGGAATTCGCGCCAGTTTATAAGCCTACGCCAGCACAAAAGCTCTCTGTTATTCGTAAACGTAATAATGTTTCAAATTCCAGGAATAGGTGTAGAATGGTTCAAGAGGATGAAGAAGTCGAACATAATCCTTCGTTCGACAGCCACGGGGAATCACTGCATTGTCAGCCGAGTGTAAATACCATCAAACATCACAGGTTGGTCCGACATCATGAACTGTTAAAACCAGACAAGTTTGATGGTACAGGGTGTCTCAAAACTTTTCTTAAGAAATTCGAAATATGTGCTATGTATAACCAATGGAGTATGGACGACATGGAAGCGTATCTGTCATGTTCGTTGACAGGTGAAGCTGCTGAAGTTCTTTGGGACTTAGCGGGACTTGGTTATCAAGAATTAGTAACGAAGCTAGAAAACCGTTATGGAACGAGTGGTCACGAAGAGTCGTATAGATATGAGTTGCAGACTCTTCGACGCAAACCAGGTTCGTAAATTATCACAAACGGTAAAAAAGTTAATGTCGTTAGCTTACCCGGGCAAACAGTCAAAGTTGGCGGTACATTTAACAAGAGATTTTTTTATTTGCTTTTAAAGACGCTGATTTAGAACTGAAAGTTAGAGAAAGGGAACCAAGAAATATTGATGATTCGTTACGAATTTGCACAACGCCTTGAAGTTTCAAAAAACTTAGTTAATTCATCCTACAGGTTTACCCCACAGGTTAGGAACATGCAGGATACAACAGAAAACAGGATGAAGGCAGTGGAGCGCAAATAAACGCGCTTCGTCAATCGGTTGACGTCTTTCAAGACCATAAGGTACAGTCAGCTGTCCCTCGGATCAGGGGTGAAAAGGTTTGTTTCGGCTGTGGAAAACCAGGACACCTAATCTCCCAATGCCCTTAGAAAAATATACCAAACAAGTTTCAGTCAAGCAATCAAAAGGGTCAAAATAATTGTTACCGGTGCGGAAAATCAGGCCATTTCAAAAGGGAATGTCCAGAGAAAGAAAAGTTAAATAAACAATCACAACGCGTGAACAAATCTAATGAAAATGATGATCAAACTTTATATCTGCCAATTTTGGTAAATGGCAGAAAAAGATTGGGCTTGTTGGATAGCGGAAGCAGCGTATCCATTATCCCGTTCTCAATGGTTGACGTCGCGAGGGTCACACCTACCAAAAGATCGCTGAAGGCCGCTAACAATACAGAGATTCCAATGAAGGGGGAAATGAGACTGAGGATAAAGGTTGGTGGATTTTCTAAGCTTGCTTCAGTTTTGGCATCAGACCACGTGTCAGAAATTATCTTGGGTTTAGATTGGCTAGTAAATAATAAAGTCTCATGGAAGTTTGACGAAGCTCAAATTACCGTTGGTAACAAAAATAGAATAGTGAAGTTTATCACTAAAAGATTTTCAGAGAGGCGATTGTGCCGAATCTACTCCAGTGTGGAAGTGCAAATTCCGGCACGAGCTGAAATAGATGTACCAACAAAATTGGTGGTACGCCAGCCATCCAAATTAACATTGACAGATTGCGTATGTTCTGAGGCAGGGCAAGTGACGTCGGGTGTATTTTATGCTAGGACGTTGCTTCCGATAAAATACGAGGGTCAATGTGTCAGAATATTAAAAGTGAGTGACGAATCCAGGTTGATTAAACAGGGAACGCGGTTGGCCGATCTTTCATGGGCCATGGTGGAAAACAAGTTGGATAACCGCTGCATAAGAATCTAGTTAACGTCAAAACTATAATTGACGAATTGACCAGGGGTGCCCCCGAAGAAGGAAGGCATGAATTATCTGAGTTATTAAATAATTTTCAGGATACATTTAGTGATACAGGTACAGAAATTGGAGTTGCAAAAGGGGTTTATCATAGGATCAACACAGAGTAGGCCCGGCCCATAAAGCAACAACTCAGACGTCATCCCCCGGCATACAAGAAAATTATCGCAGAACAGGTAGACGAAATGTTGGAGCAAGATGTGATTGAGCCATCTCATGGGCCTTGGTCTTCCAACATTGTCTTGGTAAAGAAAAAAGACGGCTCATACCGATGTTGTATTGATTACCGAAAATTAAATTTGGTAACAGTATAGGACGCGTACCCACTTCCAAGAATAGACATGTGTCTAGACGCGATGTCAGGTGCGCGGTGGTTTTCTACTCTGGATCTTAAATCATCTTATCACCAAATAGAAATGCATCCAGAAGATAGAGATAAAACTGCTTTCGTCTGTAACAAAGGCATTTTTAGGTTCAAACGAATACCGTTTGGGTTATGTAACGCTGGCGCTACTTTTCAGCGCTTGATGGATACAGTGCTTTCGGACTTGTGCCCGAATACATGTTTGGCATACATCGATGATATAATTGTATATTCTAATAATTTGCGGCATCATTTTTTTAGGTTAAAACAAGTTTTTAGCAGGTTGAGAAACACAGGACTGAAAGTCAAGATAGAGAAATGTAGATTTCTCAAGGAAGCCGTTCTTGGGACATATTATTTCTTCGAAAGGAATCGCAACAGATCCGTCAAAAACGGAGGCTGTTCGGGACTGGCCCATACCAACTTCTTTGACGGATGTTAGAGGATTTTTAGGTTTAGCTGGATATTATCGACGTTTTGTTCACGAATTTTCACAATTGGCAAAACCGTTAAACTTTCTCCTAAGGAACAAAAAAAATTCAACTGAGGATTGGAGCAGCAAAAAGCTTTCGAAAATTTGAAGTCTGCGTTGACAACCGCACCGGTTTTAGCTATGCCACAAGACGATGGATCTTTTGTTCTGGACACGGATGCTTCTCAGCAAACTATTGGAGCAGTATTGTCGCAGTTGCAGGATGGCAAAGAAAAGGTAATTGCGTATGCTAGTCGGACCCTGAGTCGAGCTGAAGAAAATTATTGCACCACGCGAAAAGAGTTGCTAGCAGTCGTTAATTTTTTAAAATACTTCAAGCAATATTTGTTGGGTAGGCATTTTACCATCAGAACGGATCATGCACCGCTGACATGGTTGAGAAACACACCCGACCCTATTGGTCAACAGGCAAGATGGTTAGAACAAATGGAGGAGTTTGATTTTAATATTATCCACAGGGCAGGTACGAAACATGGTAATGCAGATGCCATGTCTCTGAAACCGTGTAAAAAAGAGTGCTGTAGGCCAGAAACACGAGCGGTAAAACAGATTAAAGAAGCAGACAAATTTATTGACCAGAGAGAGGGTCAATATGCGGATAAGACAATCCAAGTTTTTGTTAAGTGGCTGCAGGAAAATGCTGCCAAACCGCCCTGGGACGACATATCAAGTGAGCATAGGACGTTCAAAACGCTTTGGAACCTATGGGACCGTCTAGTGATCAAAGACGGAGTCTTATGTAGACGGTTCGAAATAACAGAGACTGGAGATATGGTTTGGCAGGCCTGGGTGCCTGCAAATATGATTAACTCTGTATTATTAATTGTCTATACCGGAA